GGCCCGCCGGCTGCCATGGCCTTGCCGTGAGGGACTGGGAAGGGTGCGAAGAGGCAGCCACAGCTCCTCCCGTGGGAAGGAAGACGACAAAAGCTGCTGTACCGGCTTTCCCTCCTTCCCCAGAGCCCTTCTCAGGGCCCTCCTCAGGGGAACTAAGGTGTCCTTCCCAAAGCTCCTGCAGTTTTCAGAGCCCCCTTCCCTCAAGGCTTTCTGTGGGTACAAAGCGCTTCTCATGCTGCTCACCCCACACACTGATGAGGTCCTCAGGTTTGCTTCCACTCCCCCTTTCTGACTGAGCCAGAAAGGCACCAGGAGAACTTGCAAAAGCCACCCTTGCTGCCACATGAATGTGGGGAGTCATGGGCCAGCTTTCCCCGTGGAGGAAACTCCCAAGAATACCTCTGTGCCCAGGATGGCACCACTGCTTGTGTTGGCTGAATGCAAAGGCATTGCAAAGGGAGACTTGTTGCTTACTTATTTGGTTTGTGCGGGCACAACTGCCTCCATCCTCTCCTTGTGCCCTCCTCACCCCTCGATTTCTTTCCCTTTAAGGGTCAGGCCAGCAACAGCTCCCCCACTGCCAGGGGCTCTTGCACAGCTCCTTGAAGGCAGGGACTAAAGTTTCCAACCCTCCTCTTTCAACCACTGCAATGCGCCAAGTAATTCCTACTTCATTTGCTACTTACTGCTGTTGACTTTTTTATAGAACTATTCCAAATGATTCCCTAGTGGAAGCTAATTTGCAGCTACCAGTTGTAAACATAAAATTGTGAGTGTTTGCCTTGAAGGGATATACGTTAAGCTTTTTTATTAAAAAAAAAAAAATACAGAGTCACCTATTTTTTAATCCCCCTTTCCAGATCATTCAGGGTCACAGACTCCAGGGCAGATCCTTGTGGGACTCTTGAGAACCTCCTCTCCTCATGCATCATTTACACTTGTTCATGCAGTTGCCAGGTGAGTGTTGTAATTTGGCCAAAATATTAAAGACACAGTCCCCAAAAGCTAAAGAAATAATATACTTTGAACTCCCTTAAGTATTTATACACATACGTCTTCTTCAAGCTAAGGAATATTTTGCTCTTAATGACAGAGCTCAAGCTGTGCTCTGGCATGATAACCCTGGTTTAACTTCTATCATTTAACAGAATGTAAACCTGATTCTTGTTAACTTAACGTATGAGATCAACATCGCGCAAAACTCACACAAATATAACCGACCAGTTGCAGGGTTTTTTGTGTTTTTGTTTTTGTTTTGTTTTTTAAAGGAAAGGCAACACATTTAGTAATCCATTTATAAAATAAATGATCCTCAACATTCCAGGTATGCAGAGCTGTAAGTTTACTTCAGAATAAAACACAGACATGGAGGAAGAATCAAAACTGAGTTGTACTTGACCATATATTTGGACAAAGCAGAATTACACTGCATATAACAAACAGTAAAATTTCTTAAAAGTTGTTACAAATATTTTACTTTCTACCTGTACGATCATTAACATAGTTTACTATATCAAGATTTCTAAAGGCTTAAAACAAAAACAATCCCTCTAAACTACTTTCCAACAGTAAAATTTAAGTAAAATGCTTACATTCATTGACAACAAAAAACATATTAAAAATGCTGTGTGGGTGGTGCAAGAGCTGCTTTTTCAGCTAGAACTTTTTTCCAGGGTTATTCCTGTGGAAAGAAAGAAAGCAATTCTGTAAACTGTCAGTTACAAAGCTCAAAAAAAAACCCAAACTCAATTATTTGGGATACTGCAAATGAACCTCATCTACAGTTCACCAACAGAACTGTGTACCTTTTCTTCTTTGCGCCTGTCCTTTTCTTCATTGTTCTCCATTGTTTCTTCTTCGTCTTCCACAATCCCATCTCCTTGGTACTTGTCATGTGTCCACTTTGGACTACTACCTGACTTTTTGAAGTTAAAGCGACCTCTGCCACGCTGGAAAGTACCACGGCCTCTTCCTCTTTTGGCCCAATAATCTACACCATCATCTCTGTCATCGTGCTACAACAATAATGCAAAGAGTAAGGTTAAAAAACTTATGCACCTCTTTAAATGTTGGCATTTCATATAAAATATAGGCTATACATACAAAAGCGATCAGAGTTTTTTAATAGTTCAGATCACAACCTCTAGGTTACAATATGAAGGATGTCTTTATGATTCAGTGTTACAGCTAAGAATAACTTCATAAAAAAATCTAACAGCCTTTACTAGCTGAGAGTCTACTCAAATTCTCATGGTTGAGGTAACAAAAACAGTGTTCTTACAACTGAAGATAGAAAGAGCAAATAAGAGGTTCCTCATTATTTCCAAGCAGTAAATCTGTGTTTTCTGCTCTGTGCACATGCTGTTAAAAAGACTATCTTATTTTAACAGTGCAAAGCTACTAATCTTCTTTAAATTTCTTAATGAAAGACAGCAGAAAATAGTATTCAGAAATCCTGCTTTACCCATTTGAAGTAAGGCAAATTTTAAACTAGTTGACTACTTAAGTTTAACTAGTATAACTCAACTTTTACTTACTAAAGTCAGTAAGCTTCAGGTCTGCTATCTTGCTATCAAATACAGCCTTTACACAATTTGATAAATCTTACAAG